GGGGGACACTCCAGAAAGGTCGGGGGGGACATTCCAGAAAGGTCAGGGGGACACTCCAGAAAGGTCAGGGGGACACTCCAGAAAGGTCGGGGGGGGGGACACTCCAGAAAGGTCGGGGGTGTCTGGAAACCAGCACCATTGTCCAGAGTGGGGCCCAGGGACAGGGAGGCCAGCAAAGGCCAGGCCACGTCAGGCTGGCGGACACCATGGAGGCCCTTCACCAGGTGCCGTGGGGTCCTCGGGGACACTCGCACTGGGAAGAGAGCGCTGCGTGCAGGCAGGCTGGGCAGCTGGGCGGTGGGTCCCGTGTGATAACCAGGGGTGGCTGGCCACGGGAGCTCTCCCCTCCAACATGCTGCATGAAATCAACCTAAAAATCGCCCACGAACTGGAGCCAGGTGGTAGACCCAGCCTGACTCCCTCTTAAAATTGGGAGCCATCTTGCCACAAAGCCATGAAAAGCTGATTTTGGCTTTACTATAAGTTACTGCAGATTCTGAACCTGCTTGGAATGCCTGCCCGTGCCTTGAACTCACCCCTGCCTGGCTCTCCCACAGTTAGCAGCCCTCTCTGAAACTTTAGTGATGCCTCACAAATCTTGGCCTTCCCTGGCCAGATACCGACCCTCTCTGAGGCTCTAATGACCTTCATAAATTCTGATGTCGGGGCCAGCAAAACTGTCATGCCCGTCAGAGTTTGCTATCTGTAACCCGCCCCCCCCCTTGTGTAACTTTCTGGGCTATAAAGCTGGGCTGCAGGAAAGCTGGGGGCTGTCTTGTTCCTGCGGTTTTGGGGTGGGAGAGGAGCCCGGCCGGTGGAAATGATAAGTTGCTTTAATTTGATCTAATTGGAGTTAGTGGTCTTTTCTTGCGTCCTGGTCTAACCCCAGGCCTACTACTGTGCTGCAGGGCCCCGCCCGTCCCACCTGCTCCCCACTAGCAGCTCCAGACAGAGTCCGCAAGGGAGGCCGCCTGCCCTCCCGTCCCAGACCTCCACGGAGCCTGCCTCCCAGCAAGGGACCCTTGCATGGGGTCACACAGCCCAGAAGCCTCGGACCCTGACCCTGGAGTCTGTCACGTGCCCTCACCTGGAAGGAGGGTGTTTGCAGACAAGGGAGTGAAGGTGCAGTTGGCGGGGTGGGCTCTAGCCCAACGTGGCCAGTGTCCTTGTGAAACCAGGACACGCAGACGGGCCGGAGAGGGAGAGTGCCGCGGGCACAGGGAGACGAAGTCAGCACCAGGCTCCGGCAGGCGGGCAGCACCAGCAGCTGGGGGGTCTGTGCCCAGCCTCTGTGCTCGCTACGGCAGAGAAGTCCTGCCCAGGTCCTCTCTACCCAGAATCCAAGGGAACTCCTCCCTTGGCCCTCTGACCACAGGGGGCAGGGTCCTGGTGGGCAGGCCAGGAGACCCAGGGACACTGCCATCCAGAGGCAGCATGCCCCCACAGTTGTCACCACAATAGGCAAGAGCCACCAGGGCCCCAAATACGCTCGCTAGAAGCCCCCTGTCCACACGGCCTCCGTCCACCTCCACTTTTCTCTCTCAGACTAAAAATAAGTTAGATCCTGAGCCAGGCGGAGTCAGCCACGCAGGAAGCTGGAGCTCAGGGTTGCTGCTCTCCAGGAATGGCCTCAGGCCATCAGGAAGGGGGAGATGGGGGCCAGGATGGGACAACACAGGCCAGGAGGGAATAAAACCCAGAGCCCCGGGCCTCACACACACACTCACCCACACACCCACCCACACACCCACCCTCCTCCAGCACCCCCACCATGGCCGCCTCCATGTCCGTCTGCTCCAGCGACCTGAGCTATGGCAGCCGCGTCTGCCAGCCCGGCTCCTTCGATTCCTGCCCCGACTCCTCCTGGCAGGTGGACGACTGCCCAGAGAGCTGCTGCGAGCCCCCCTGCTGCGCCCCCAGCTGCTGCCAGCCCAGCTGCTGCGCCCCAGCCCCCTGCCTGACCCTCCTCTGCACCCCAGTGAGCTGTGTGTCCAGACCCTGCTGCCAATCAGTCTGCACCAGCTCCTGCAGC